CACACTCTCTCTCTCTCTCTCACACACACACACACAATCACGTCGTGCTCACAGTGGTGCCTTTGAGCGCTTCCTTAGAAGAATAACATGCATCATTTACAGCGTCGCAGGAATGTTGTATAATTTTAGTGCACATTCAGGTGTAACCTGACTGCAAACTGCTGTTTAATATGTCAGCACTTCCTGCATTTATGGACACAATAAACATACACTCTCTTTAGGATCTGAGAAATATAGTTTTTTAAGGTTTACTTTTACTAAACGGGGATTGCACCAAGTTTGACTGGGTAATATAGCTAAGAAAGATCTCAGTAGCCTTTTGCAGCATTCAGTGTATATGTGCACTAGCCAACACCAAAGTCATGGGTGCGATTCCCAGGAAATGCATGAACTAACCAAATGTGAAAATTGAATGCAATGCAAGTCGCTTTAAGTAAGATAAAAGCGTCTGCCAGTTGCAGAAATGTAAATGTATGTATTTTCTCTGAAATGGCTTTATAGGGTAAACAGTTTCATGCACAAAGTAAAACATATTTAATCATTTACTTTTTTTATGCACCAATATAACAGTACATCATAAAAAAGGGCAATATTTACCTACAAATCTTCTTTACTAAAACATTTAAATAAAAATGCCACATAGGGACTTAGGGATGTTAACATAAATGACTGGTTGAATCAAATTAGTTAAATTCTTTATCTTTATTTTTATAGCGCTTTATACAGAACTTAATAATATTACAAAATTTTATATACATTATAAAATATTCTCATTCTTCAAAATATCTTCTTTTATGTTCAGCATATGAAAGTTAGTTTTGAATTGAGGGGTCTCCAAGCTTTTTACACCATGGACCAGTTTCGTGGACCAGCTGCTGGGGGTGCGTGTATATGTTTTAGGGGTCGACCGATATGTGTTTTTCAGGGCCGATGACGATACGATTATTACAGACCTAGCCAACACCAAAGTCATGGGTGCGATTCCCAGGAAATGCATGAACTAACCAAATGTGAAAATTGAATGCAATGCAAGTCGCTTTAAGTAAGATAAAAGCGTCTGCCAGTTGCAGAAATGTAAATGTATGTATTTTCTCTGAAATGGCTTTATAGGGTAAACAGTTTCATGCACAAAGTAAAACATATTTAATCATTTACTTTTTTTATGCACCAATATAACAGTACATCATAAAAAAGGGCAATATTTACCTACAAATCTTCTTTACTAAAACATTTAAATAAAAATGCCACATAGGGACTTAGGGATGTTAACATAAATGACTGGTTGAATCAAATTAGTTAAATTCTTTATCTTTATTTTTATAGCGCTTTATACAGAACTTCTTCAAATATGAGACAAATTCAAATTCTGCTATAAAGCAGCTCTAAAATAGATAAGAGTGTCATGACTGTCAATTCAGTCCTGTGTTGATACCGTTCAGTTTAATAACGGTGTAAAATTCATTAATTATGAAGTTCAATTCAGCTCTACAGAAAGGCCAAGTTTTAAGTGTAACCACTATATTTACACTATAAATATGCATCTTTATCAAGTTTTAAAAAAAAACTTTTTACAAACACTGACATTTTAACATCTTACTCCATTTAACATTTGAACTAACCTTGCCAAAATAATATTGTTAAAATTATATATATTATATACAGTGGGTACGGAAAGTATAGACCAAGTAGACCGATAACCAATATTTTGAACCGATATATATGTCTGGTGTAAAAATGAAAATTAATGTCAAAATTAAGAATAACAAAGGCTCTGACAAAAACTTTCTTTAAATGCTATTAAATTATTGTATCGGCAAATCGGTTTTGAAAATGACCGATACCGATAACCATAAAAAGCTTAATATCGGCGCCGATAATCGGTTGCAAGTGTGGAAACAATGTTTTCTGAAATCATGTTGTATGTAAATTTAGATAGTGGCTCTCAAAGGGCAAAATGCACAATAAATGTCATATTTTTCCCAAAACGTTCTTGCGACCCGGTAGCAGCTCTTCCACGGCCCAGTACTGGGTCGCGACCTCTGCTGTTTAGCAGCTCTAACTACTAACTCTTTTTGCTATTAAAGTTTAAATCAAATGCACTGGACTTCTGAGCCTTTACTTTTAGATTTTAAAGAATAAGGAGTCATGATCAGTAAATTGTTGTTGTATTTCGTCTCGGCAGGGTTTTCAGGTGCTGGTAGAGGCCGAGTGGTTGGATTACGGTCATAAGTTCGCCGACCGCTGCGGTCACGGCGAGAACGCGTGCGATCTGAACGAGCGCTGTCCCGTGTTCCTGCAGTGGCTCGACTGCGTTCACCAGCTCCAGAGACAGTTCCCATGCTCCTTCGAGTTCAACGAGGCCTTTCTGGTACTCAGTGTCATTATTTTGATCAGTGCTTGTTCATATTCAATATCCATTTATTTTTATGGAATGAATATAAACATAGGCTATATGCTTTCTAGTAATGCAACAAAATGTTGTTTTTTACCGAAAACAAACAAACAAAAAGTTAATTTAGTAATAGGGCTGTCAATATAGTGTGTTAATTTGGTGCAATTTATTATGTAAAATATAACGTTAAAATGAGCAATGTCACACCAGTGAGAGTGCTGTTTTTCTCCTAAATATGCACCATTACAAATATGTTATTGATTTAATAGGTCAGTAAATAATTAATATTGTGTTACATTTTAGACACAATATTGTCTGTTTTGCTCAATTTCACAAACAAAAATAGTTCATAGCCACAGCAGAACTGTTATGCATTTCCGAGCAACACACAGCAGATTCGTTACTGAGTGAATCCACGGTTTTGAACAAATCTAGTGAGTCACTCATTCATAAAGACAGTCACTTGCATCATTTCTGAATGAATCAGCATATTTAAAAGAAAGTCGATGATTCAGTGATTCATTCATAAAGACACTCACTTGCATAATTTCTGATTGAATCAGCATTTTTGAACGAATCAAGTGAGTCAAAGATTCAGTGACTCATTCATAAAGACAGTCACTTGCATCATTTCTGAATGAATCAGCATTTTTAAACGAATCAAGTGAGTCGATGATTCAGTGACTCATTCATAAAGACAGTCACTTGCATCATTTCTGAATGAATCAGCATTTTTAAACGAATCAAGTGAGTCGATGATTCAGTGACTCATTCATAAAGACAGTCACTTGCATCATTTCTGAATGAATCAGCATTTTTAAACGAATCAAGTGAGTCGATGATTCAGTGACTCATTCATAAAGACAGTCACATCATTTCTGAATTAATCAGCATTTTTGAACGAATCAAGTGAGTCAATGATTCAGTGACTCATTCATAAAGACACTCACTTGCATAATTTCTGATTGAATCAGCATTTTTGAACGAATCAAGTGAGTCAAAGATTCAGTGACTCATTCATAAAGACAGTCACTTGCATCATTTCTGAATGAATCAGCATTTTTGAACAAATCAAGTGAGTCAATGATTCAGTGACTCATTCATAAAGACACTCACTTCCTTCATTTCTGAATAAATCAGCCGTTTGAACAAATCGGTTGAATGAATGATTAAATGATTCACTCATCAAGACAGGCAGATTTTAGTTTCATATTTAGAGTATATTTCATGTATTTTTTTATTTTTTTATTTCAATATTTATTTTCAATTTTCAGTTAAAAAAAAACATTGATGTGTGATTCATTTGTGATTAATTTAATTAATCGTCACATCATGTAATTAATTAGATAAAAAATTTTAATTGCTTGACAGCCTTATTTAATAATCAATTAATTAGTAACATTTATTTAATAATCTGTGCTCAAATAAAAGTTGGAGTTGCATATAGACATTGAATTGCATTTAAGGTGACTTTTTAATTAACTAATTCTGTTTCTACTCCAATTTGTTGTTGAAATGTAAACATTTAAATGGTGGCTGTAATAAAAACTTGTTTTCATGACAGATTTATTGAAAACTCATATATCATGACAGCGGCTGTGTTTGTTACTGCAGGTGAAGTTAGTGCAGCACACGTACTCGTGTCTGTTTGGGACGTTCCTGTGTAACAGCGTGAAGGAGCGCGAGGAGCAGCGCGTTCAGGAGAAGACGTGCTCTGTTTGGTCTCTGCTGCGGCCCGCCAACACTTCCTTCCACAACATCCTATACTCGCTGCGATCCTATATATATATATATAATAAAATGAAAAATAAATAGAAAACTAATAAAAACTAAATAAAAATGGCAAAAACACAAAACATAATTACCACTTTTACTAAAAATTCAAATAAAAACAGAAAAACGAATTGAAAACACTGTTATTATCGTTATCTAAAATAAAAAAATTTGTTACTTGAAATAAAATAAACGTTAATTTGTTAAAAAAAATTATTTCAACTAGTTGTCAAATAATTAAAACTGAAATAAAATTAATAAAAACTATATATGAAAAACCCCAAAACTACTAAAAATGACAAAAACACACAACAAAATTACTAAAACTTTAACTACAATTAAAATGAAAATATAAAAAGAAAAACTGATTCAAAAAAGGAATAAAAACTGTAATAGTCTCTTAATGCTTGTAAAATAACACTGCAGCACATGCATTTTCAGCACTGATGATAATAATCATGTTTCTTGAGCAGCATATTAGAATGATTTCTGAAGATCATGTGACACTGAAGACTGGAGTAATGATGCTGAAAATACAGCTTTGATCACAGAAATAAATTACAGTTTAACAGATATTCTCATAGAAAACAGTTATTTTTATTCTAATACTATTTTGCAATTTTTTTTACTGTATTTTTGATCAAATAAATGCAGCCTTGGTGAGCAGAAGTGACTTTTCCCCAAAAAAACATGAAAAATTTTTTTTTTTCAATTGTAGTGCCTGCTCTAAATTCTATCTAGGCAGCACACTAGGTTTTGAGACGCAGCCTGAATCTCTCCATCTCCATCAGGTTTTGCACCCGGTGTGTCACGTGAGGAATCTGATGCTATGGAGTGCCGTCTACCTGCCAAACTCCGCCCCCTCCACGCCTTCAGACGAGTCATGTGTGCCACACTCCGCCCCCTCAGCCTCGCCCGAGGACACACCTGTGAGCAGGTAAACGAGACGTGACGTATGTGCTTCTGTGTGCTGCAGTTCCTTTTTCCAAACTCATTTATGAACCATGTTTACATGCATCAGGTTAATGCGGTCAGATGATGCATACTAAATATGAACATTTATGCATTAAACACTCTTTTATTCAAAACAACTTAAAATTACATTTAAGGTAATCACTGAGATATACATATTTCAGTATACATTTTTTTTTACTCAATTAATACCCATTTATTATCATTTATGCAATGTTGAATCAAAATATTTCTCTCTGAAGCTATTTTTGTAATGTATATTCAGTGTTTTTCTCATCAATTTCTCTCAACATTTTTTGTCAGTCAAAACTGATGTTCGATTAATTTGATTAATTAATCGGCACATAATGTAATTAATAAGATTACAAATTTTAATCGCTTGACAGCCCTAGTTTTAATATTAGCTGTAGTTTTAGTAATTTTGTTGTGTTTTTATTGTTTTGTTGCTTTATGTCTATATGGTTTTTAATTTTTATTTCAGTTTTAGTCATTTTAGTACATCAAGTTAAAATAAATGGTAACACTTTACAATAAGGTTAATTAGTTAACATTAGTTAGCTACTTTAGTTAACATGAACTAAGAATGAACAGCATTTATTAATCTTTGCTAATGCTAACAATTACGGACTGTATTTTCATTAACTAACATTAACAAAGATGAATAAATACTGTAATAAATGTACTGTTCATTATTCATTCATGTTAGTTAATACATTAACTAACATTAACTAATTGAACCTTATTGTAAAGTGTTACCAACTAAATGAAAATGAGAAATACTTAAAAAAAATATATATTATTTCAGTAAAATTTTATTTCACATAACAAAAATGATTTTTTTTAATGATTTTATTTTCTGTTTTAGGTTTAGTTGGCTGTAATAACCCAGATCTAAGGTTTACATTTTTATCAGTTTATGCATTTCCTGGAAATCCAACCCTTGACTTTTCCGTTGCTAGTCACACGTTCTACTGTTCGAGCTACAGAAATGCCAACGTAAAATATTTATGTAAGAAATGAATGTTGGAACATTCTAGTGCATGTAAACACAATCATTAACTCTTTTCACAGGCCTTCCGCTCCTTGAGTTCTCTCCAGCGCTGGAAAGCTGATCTGATATTTACACGCGTCCTACTTCTTGCCTTAAGCCTTCTTTTGTTCCACAGACGTTTCCCTCTTTTGTTTTTTATCCGCCATCTCTATCTTTCTGTCGCTCGGCTCAGCTAATGTCCGTCCTGTGCACTGAACTCTCTCTCCTCCACATCATGAGTAGACACGCCCCTTACTGCTGATTGGCTACAAGTTTGTTTTGCTACTCGGCCCGTTTTCTAAAGCGTTTTTGAAAAATCGCTTACCCCACCTTTAAAGGTTCCTCTCTGATTGTGAGATGTGATGGTTTTTCAGGTTACCAAAGACGCGGTCGTACAACGACCTGCCCACATCCTGTGAAGGTTTGACCCCGAACCGCCGCAGCAGCGACCCAAACCTGAATGAGAAGTGGCATGACCGCCTTCTCGCCCTGGAGATCAGCGTGACGACAGAAGCCTGCGGAAACCACACGCAGACGTCAGAACACGGCGGCCTGAATCAGAGACTTGGCTTAAACACAGACGATTCTAAAGCATCAAACACAGATCGTCCAGGAAACGGGGCGGAACCTTCTGTGAATGACGGCCAATTGCTAAACACCTCACAGGAAGTGAGAGAAGACGACGACAGGATGCTGGATCTTCTAAATAACACGCCTGCCTTCAGTATCTCAGCGGAATCAGCTCTGAATGCCAGTAACAGTGAGGACCAAACGTTTGAGCTTGAAGAAAAACACCTGCCTGCATCCCAGCATCCTTTGCCCACCAATGAAAACAGTGAATTAACGCCAAACGCCGACAATGACGCACCTTATAAAATCACCCATGATCCTTCAGAATCTAGCAGCCAGTCCTCCATGGAAAGTTCTTCCAGTCCAAACCACACAACTCAGACTCTTAACGGCGTCTGCTCACCTTCACAGCATCCCGTTCGTCCTCTTTTTCCGTCGGCCAATCAGGACGCAGCGGGAGACGCTTCTCTGACGTCGCCTCACAAGCGTTCGCTGGGAGTTTCCGGGCGATTAGGGCACCTGGATAAGGACGGCTTGAGTCTGCACAGCGATGCCGTACAGGTGCGTCTGCGGCAGATGGAGGCGGGGCATCAGCTGCAGGGGGAGACGCTGAAGAAACAGGTGCAGGAGCTCTGGAGCCGGCTGCATGTCAACGGGAAGCTGGTGAGGAACAAACACGCCTTACGCTCCGTAAATAACTTCATTTACAATTTATAATTTCATTAAGGTCTGTTCACACAAGGACGATAACTATAACCGTCGTAATAATAATCGTTCAAGCTCTGATAGAGACTACAACTATAACGATAACAAAACGGAGAAATGATATTGTAAAGGTGTCACTTTCAGAGCAATTTTTCCCCTGTTGATGAACAGTGTAGTACAAGCATATACAAGAGTTATGTAATCAGATTACTTTTTTTCAAGTAACTAGTAAAGTAACGCATTACTTTAGAGAATATCTGAGTTACTTTTTCAAATAAGTAATACAAGTTACTTTTTTTTCCCAGTTTATTTATTGACAGCTCTCCTGTCCCCATGTTGAGAGAAATCAGAAGATGTTACCGTAGTTCTAAAATAAATATGAATATGCATTAATTAATCTCACTCAAAAAACACAGATTCAGTATTCCTCAAAATGAATAAAAATAATGCAACTCAGAATATGACGCAAACCTGCAATAATTAAATGTTAAACAACACAAATATCCTTTATGTATTTAATCCCATTCTATTAACCAATGTCTTTGCTTCTGACCTTCGATGATCCAGTTCAACCGTACTAATAAGCACAAATTACTCTAGACAAACATTTGTGTGTCTTTGTTTATTGCTGAATTGTGTTGAAATTTCTTCTTCTGCCTTCTACTGTACGGACATATATTTACTTTCCCTTCAGCCTGAGGCTTATTCATTTCACTTTTGGTGTGAAAAGGCTTTTATATTTGCCAAAAATATAACTTTTTTATTTTAAAAACAAACAAGCAAGCCCTGTCCAGATTTAAAAAGTAACGCGAACGTAACGTAATGCATTACTTTCCATAAAAAGTAACTAATTAACGTAATTAGTTACTTTTTTATGGAGTAACGCAATATTGTAATGCATTACTTTTAAAAGCAACTTTCCCCAACACTGCTGATGAATGATGAAAACATTGACAGCCAATCAGAAGCTCGAGTATTTAAAGCGGCGAGACGACAAAACTGCAGTGCGTGCTTAGAATAAACAGAATGTTATCATCCAATATAGTTATCGCTATTGGTATGGTCACCATTATAGTTATTATAGTTATCAGTGCAGTTGTGGATATTATCATTATAGATATTATAGTTATTGTTTTAGCTATCATTATAGTTATCTTCATAGATATCTTTGTAGTTATCGTTATAGATCAGATACAGTTAGCGCTATAGTTATCACATTCATTGTTATAGATATCGTTAGTGTTATCATTATAGTTATCGTTAGTTACTGCTATCTTTATAGTCATTATTATAGTTATTGCTACAGTTATCGTTAAAGATATTGTTATTATATTTATCATTATTGTTATTTTTATATTTATTGGTATAGAAATTGTTATAGTTATTATAGTTAGCTCTATAGTTATTGTTATAGTTATGTTATTGCTATTGTTAGAGTTACAAATATTGTTAAGTTATCATTATATTTATAATTATAGTTATAGTCATACTTATCAAAGTTATTGTTATTGATCTCTTTATAGTTAGTCTTTTTTGTTATCATTATAGTTGTAGCTATCATTATAATTATTGTTAGACATTATTTTAAGTTAGCATTATAGTTATTATAATTATTATTTTATAGTTAACATTATAGTTAGTTATTGTCAGTTATTATTACAATTATTGTTATAAATATTATTTATATTATTTAGCATTATAGTTATAGTTATTATTATAAATATTGTTATTAGATATTTTGGTTATGGTTAATAATGGTATAGTTATCGTTATAGTTAGTAATTATTGTTATAGATATTATTTTAGTTATGGTTAATGTTATAGTTATCATTATAGTTAGTTGTAGTTATTATTATAATTATTGTTATAAATATTATTTTAGTTACGGAAAACGATATAGTTATCATTATAGTTGTAGTTATTATTATAATTATTGTTATCGTTATAGTTAGTTATTGTTATAGATATTTTAGCTATGGTTAACACAGTTATAGTTATTATTATAATTATCGTTATGGATTTTATTTTAGTTATGGTTAACATTATAGTTACCGTTATAGTTAGTAATTATTGTTATAGATATTTTAGCTATGGTTAACATAGTTGTAGTTATTATTATAATTATTGTTATGGATATTATTTTAGGTACGGTTAACGATATAGTTATCGTTATAGTTAGTAATTATTGTTATAGATATTTTAGTTATGGTTAACATAGTCGTAGTTATTATTATAATTATTATGGATATTATTTTAGGTACGGTTAACGATATAGTTATCGTTATAGTTAGTAATTATTGTTATAGATATTTTAGCTATGGTTAACATTATAGTTAGTTATAGTAATTATTATTATTAATGGATATTATTTTAGTTATGGTTAACATTATAGTTATCGTTATAGTTAGTAATTATTGTTATAGATATTTTAGTTATGGTTAACATAGTTGTAGTTATTATTATAATTATTGTTATGATATTATTTTAGGTACGGTTAACGGTTATCGTTATAACGGTTATAGTAAGTAATTATTGTTATAGATATTTTAGCTATGGTTAACATTATAGTTAGTTATAGTTATTATTATAATTCGTGTTATGGATATTATTTGAGTTATGGTTAACATTATAGTTACCGTTATAGTTAGTAATTATTGTTATAGATATTATTTTAGTTATGGTTAACGTTATAGTTATTATAATTATAGATATTATTTTAGTTATGGTTAACGTTGTACTTCTCGTTATAGTTAGTGTTTGTGGTGTGAACGGACCTTTAATCTCATTAACGCCGTTGACGTTGTCAGCTGTAAATCTGACTTCCTGTTCCTGTGTGCCGCAGACGTCTCTGCCGGACGGAGAGAATAACGTGGAGTCGAGCTGTTTGCAGCGCTGTGGGAACACCGATCTCCTGTCCGAGTCCAGCTGGGAACAGATCGAACAACAGGACGCAGAGGTGAGCAGATCAGACGATCCACTCACAGTTAACAGCCGCTGCTTCAGCTGCGTTCTGCCTTCACGACACCCGGCTGTAGAATGTGTAAAAACCTCAACTCTGCATGAGACCAGATTCAGTTCAGAAGAGGAGTGACTCCGTATTTGGCCGCAGTGTGAACGTGACTTCATGTGGTTAATGTTTCTAATGCTTGTTGTGTTTGTGGTCATGTGACGCAGTGGTTCTCGGATCACGCGGCGTCCCGCTGCTACGGGTGCGAGAGGACGTTCTGGCTGGCGGCGAGGAAGCATCACTGCAGGTGATCAGTGTGTGTGTGTGTGTGTGTGTGTCGTTACCCTCCTCTGTCCTGAATCTCACCCGCTACTGATCCTAAAACACACAGTGCACATTAATCCACAGCATTTGTTAAACACTAAAATACTCACTAGTACAGCTACAGGACATAAACAATATGCTTTACAGCTCAAATAATAGAGTTTTTTACCAGTAGAGTTAATGTACTGCTTCACAGTTCTGCCTCATTCACCTTCATTTGTAAGTGCTTCGCTGTATTCTCAATTTTGCTTTTTTTTTTTTTTTTTTTAGTAAACAAGGGACAAATTGATTGATTTTTGTAGTAATCGACATTATGGCACAAAAGCTGTCAATTGAGCTGAACCCGGAATATTCCTTAATTAAGATTTTCACTCTGCACTTAACGTCTTGTAAACCTCGGGTTAAGCAACAGTTCACACTTAAAAGGAGGTTAGAGTCATTTTAGTTGTGAATCGAGTCTTGTGCACTTCACATGAGCACTATTTAATTTAATTATTTTAAAGGTTTTATTAATTAAAATAATCTAAATTAAAATGCTAAAAAATGTAATGAAAAAACTGCAATGATATTTCGACTTAAAATGTTCCCATCAACAACTTTTGTCTTTATTGAAGAACATCGAGTTCTTGAACTTCTGGAGTCACAAAATAAACTGGTTTATTAATTGAATATATTAAGATATATTCATAAAATATATTAATTTTAATATAATTAATGATTCCAGTTAATAATTTATTTATTAAAGTTTTATGTATTCAAATAATCTAACTGAATTAAAATGCTAAAAATGTAATTAAAAAACAAACTTAAATAATATTTCTACTTTAATTTTTTTCCCCATCAACAACTTTTGTTTTTATTTACCGTTCTTGAACTTCTGGAATCACAAAATTAATTGTGGCCTATTCACTTAATTCATTAAGATATATTCATAAAATATATTTAATTATTCAATTTAATAATTAATTAATTAATTGTTTATTAAAGTTTAATGTATTCAAAGAATTTAAAATGCTAAAAAAAAAAAAGTAATTAAAAAAAACAAACTTCAATAATATTTCTACTTTATTCCCCCCAACAACTTTTGTTTTTATTGAAGAACAGGGTTCTTGAACTTCTGGAGTAACAAAATTAACTGTGTTTGATTTATTTAATATATTATATTGACATAAAAATATATTTATTTCAATATATCTAATATGATTTAATTTAATAATTAAAATCTTATGTATTAAAAATATCTAAATAAATTAAACTGCTAAAAAATGTAATGAAAAATTTAAAATAATTTGTTACTTTAACACCCCCCCCCGATATTTTAAAACAAATATGTATTAAATATATATGAATTAAAATGCAAAAAAAAATTAATAATACCCGCAAATTATATTTTTAATTTGTAATTTTTTTCCCCATTTTCTTCAACAACAACTTTTGAACTTCTTTGATATAACATATATATAGATTCATAAAAAACGATATTAATTTTAAACTAGATTTAATATGAGGTTCTATTTGAGTTCAGCAGCTGCTGAATGAGTCTGAGTGTGACTGTGGTCTCTCTCTCGTTCTGCTGCAGCGGCAGAGAGCCGGTTGAGGCCTGGTGAGACGCTCCTCCTCTTCCTCCTGCACTTCCTCTCAATCCATCCGTCTTTCCCTTCTCTCCCAAACCAGCCTGTCGTGTTCTCCATCACACCTCCAGCAGCCCATGCGTGTGTTCACACTAGTGCTGGGCGGTATACCGGTTCACACCGAATACCGGTGTTTAGTGTTTAGTCACTATTTAGTGTGGTATTTTTTGACAATATTCACTCATCATGACAGTAAAATAGGGCATTCTAAGTCAATATACTGCAGTATTTCCTCTCTCAATCAGTAGAAAATATGGTTAACACCCGGTCATGCATGAAAAAAAAAATACTGTCTTGTACCGTGAAACCGGTATAATTTCGAAAAATATAATGTGTGATAAAAAGTGATATAAATTTGTGGTCATACCGCCCAGCACTATTTCACACTAGAGCTTTTGGTGCAAACCCAGTGTAAAAGCTGTTTTCTGAACTCAGATTCAAAGCAGTCAGTCAGAGTCAAGTCCAGATGAAAATGCTGGTCTGGAATATCATTCAATCACAGTTAGGATGAAAGAAATTTGACTCAATTTGTGGAAATGAACTGCCATTGATTACTATAGAGAAGAAAAAATCATGAAGAGACCACTTGAAAATTCTCAGTTTCTCTGGATTTATGAGTCTTTGAGTAAAAAAAAGTTTTATTCTGTAAACTACTGATGACCTTTCTTCCAAATTTTAAATAAAAATTTTGTCATTTAGAGCATGAAATGACAATTGGTCAAAATTATGTTTAAATTCATTTTTAGACCACACAATACCAATCTTTGAACTTCAGAAGAGTTCAGAAATCAATATCTGGTGGAATAACCCTGATTTTCACTCACAATAAATGAAAACATTTGTTATTTTGACCAATTAAAAAAAAAGGCTTTAAATGTGTATTTATATATACATAATAAATATACACAGTACACCTACATATATTATGTAAATAAAAACGTTTATTTTGGATGCGATTGATCGCGATTAATCGTTTGACAGCACTATATATATATATAGCAAAATACACTAAATTGTGATATATTATACCCAAAAATTCTTCATACAGTGGACTACCAGCAAAATGTATACAAATTTGGGACCAAACATTATTCAGACATTATATATATATATATATTATATCTAACATTATCCAGATGAATTTGTTCTGACACAGTTTAACTCTGAGTTCTTGTCATATTTTATTACCATTTTCTAAACTATAGCGAATAAACTGTGATAATGTGAGAAATGTTGAAGGTGTCTGAATAAATTTTGGTTCGACTTTATATATATATATATATATGTGTGTGTGTGTGTATAAAGCGTTTAACTGCCATTCATTTATGTATAATTAGCGCATATATATATATATATATATTAGTGCTGTCAAACAATTAATCGCATCCAAAATAAGTTTTGTTCACATAATGCATGTATGTGTACTGTGAATATTAATTATGTATATTTAAATACAAACACATGCATGTATATATTTAAGAAAAATATGTTGTTTATATATTAAATATGTATATATAATATAAG